GATTGTTTTCTTATAGTCAGAACGCTCGTAAGTTTTCAGCGCAGCATCTGTGACAATGGTGTAATGGATAGCTGCTAAAGACACGAAGTTAGATTGAGTATTGCGTTTATGCTTTGTTGGTCATGCTTTAAGTAGCGTAAAACACGGTTTATTTATACGTAGTTGGATAATACATAATTGATAATAATTTGTCCATAATTGGCCAATACTAATGCGTTTCTTCTTGTTTCTCACTGGCCCTGTTCAAGGTGCAGAGGTGAATTGACGTCTGAAGTTCTTTATATCGTTAACAGCTGTTCTACTGTTTAAACTAGAAAGTTTGATGAACATATTGTAAATGAAACTAAACAAAATGATTAACCACTGAAAAATTTCTGCTGAATTAATTTGAATGATTATGTATGAATATGTTCAAAATGTCGGAAAACTTTTTGTCCAAATGCTATAGCCGCTTACAATCATTTTATTCATGCTTATTGTATTAAAGTTTGTACGATGTACTCCTGTGCAAGAACACATTTCGAAGAAAGAAAATTAAAAATGTCCGAGAGCAGCTGATTACTGCTCGATACGGTGCCTCTTCATTAAATAGTGCTATTGTATGACGTTTATATACTCCAATTTTTTACCTTAAATGTTATTAAACCGTAGAGTAATTTCAGCTTTTCTTTTGGGGTTCAAATCCAGAAGCGGGAATGTGCCTGTAGTGTATTCTGCCATCGAAAGATTTATCCTACAAATTAAAAAAGCAGATAATGTATTTTTGCCTGTTGTAGATCTCTACGAGAAAGTTTTACTAGGCATAGTCTGTAAAACCTTATAGATGTTTATAGCTGTAAGGTTATGACAGACAATGTTTACAGAATGGCTTTTACAGTATTAATTAATGCAGCATAACGGCAATGAAATAATCAATAAGCAATACCGGGACAACTACAGACAAACTAATTTGTGATCGGAACTAAGTGCCGTGACCGGTTTTTTAAATCCGCGGTATATGAACCGAAGGAAAACCACATTATTTTGAGTGCTAAGGCGGTTTCTGAGAAGATACCATCTACTTCAGTCGGTACCCAATTCTTAGATTGGGTAATATGCACATGTATTGTTAGTTCATATTCTGCTCATGTCATTAAGTAG